TGAAAGAGATGCACGATACTCTATGGGATGGTCATCCGGGAATTGAAAGGATGATGGCTCTACTGTCCCGATACTACTTTTGGCCCAAGATGGAGCATGATGTGGAAGCATACGTGAAGAGTTGCCTTATATGCCAGCTTGACAAAACTGAGCGAGAGAAAGAGGCGGGTTTGCTGCAACCTCAGCCTATTCCTGAAGAAACATGGCAATCTGTTTCGATGGATTTTTTTAGCGGGTTCCCTAAGGTTAATGGGTTGTCTTCGATTATGGTTGTGGTCGACAGGTTTTCAAAGTATGCTGTTTTTATTGCTGCCCCAACTGAATGTCCCTCAAAGGTTGCTGCTGAGTTATTTTTCAAGAACGTGGTTAAGTATTTCGGAATGCCAGAGGATGTGATTAGTGACAGGGATGCACGGTTTACAGGCCGGTTCTGGACTTATTTGTTCAATCTGATGGGTACAAACTTGAAGTTTTCGACGGCAAATCATCCCCAAATTGATGGCCAAACCGAAAGAATCAATCATTTACTGGAAGAATACTTGAGGCATTTCGTGACTGCTAGTGCTAGTCAACGAAATTGGACAGATTTGTTAGACTGTGCACACTTCTCTTATAATTTGCAAAAGTCTTCAGCAACGGAGAAGAGTCCATTCGAGATTGTTTTGGGAAAGCAGCCTAAACTACCAACGAAGATGGCACAACAGAAAACTGAGGGTAAATGTCCAGCTGCATATCGCTGTAGTTGGGATAGACAAGCTATGATGGAAGAAGCAACATATAGCTTCAAAGTGGCACAGAACCGTATGAAAAAGTATGCTGATCGGAACAGGCGTCCATTGGAGTTCAAAGTAGGTGACAAAGTGCTGTTGAAACTTACTCCGCAAATTTGGAAGAAAATTGACAGCCGAGTTAGACATAGAGCTTTGGTTTCAAGGTATGATGGTCCCTTTGAAGTTGCTCAAAAGGTTGGTGAAGTTGCTTACCGACTGAAGCTGCCCGAAAGAATGAAGATTCATCCGACTTTCCATGTGAGTTATCTAAGGCCGTATGTTGAAGATCCTGAAGATCCGGACATGCACAAAATAAAGAGAGCTCCTACCGAGGTGCGCACTCAGCTTGAGGAAGAAATTGAGAAGATTCTTGACCACCGGGTTCTTGGGATGCATAAGAAGAATAGGCGGACAGAATTTCTGATTCAATAGAAGGGAAAGCCCGAGGCAGATGCGACTTGGGAGAAGGTGCTTCATTGTGGAAATATGAACAAAAAATTGAGGACTACTTGAAATCAGCCTCGACGAGGGCATCGAGTTCAACTAGTGTGGATGGTTAGTTAGCCCCTAATATTGAGACGTGACGGATGTCGGGCAGAATCTATGTCAAGGGCTTGTACATTGCCCTTTGGCATAGATTTGTGTGGGTGTTGGCAAGCAATGTGCAGAGCTGAAGGTGTGTCTAAGTTAGTGCCTGAACTTAGGCAAGTCAGCTAGGCAAGGTGTCTTGAATGTTGGCAAGGCAGCTTGATTGTGGGCAACGACTATGGCAAATGAAGGCGCATGGCACTTGGCTAGGGCATGCGTGTGTATCAGTAGGATGACAAAGTTTATGGAAAGACATGGTCATGAGCTTATGGGCGAGGTATGGTCCAAAGACAAGGAAAGGCAGGAAGGCAAAGTGTGGGCAAAAGCTGGAAAACAAGTGTGCAAGACATGTGACTGAAGAAATGTGCTGCGCATGTGCTATGGAAGTTAAGCATGTGCAAAGCACATGTTGCAGTTGGCTAAAATGCTGAAGATGAGTTCAAATTCGTGGGAAGATTTGAATTCAAATTTAGGACAAGGTAGTTAGCTAGTTTTTAGGCCTGTCATGTGCAAGGCACATTGTAATAGCTGCCCCTAACTGCCCCTTTGTAAAATCTGCCATAGGCAGCCCCTTTATATGTTGTAATTTCGTTGGTAATAAGGCAAGTAGCATATGTGAGCCTTTTCCAACAGAATGTCCTTTGTATTCTGCGAGAATTAATAAAGGTTAGGTGTTTACCCTTATCTCTGTGTGTTGCTACGTTTTTACAAGTCTGAAATAATCTAAGTGTCGGACTGTGTGGGGAAAAAGTAAGGCTGAGTGGCTGAGAGTTTGGCTACTGCCGTGCAGTGTAAAATTGTGCTAAAATTGGACCTCTAACAGACACCCTAGTGAGGAGGTGTGAGAGGTTGACATTGGAGGTCCTACATAGAGATAGAGGTAGACCGAAGAAGTGGGGAGAGGTGATTAGGCAAGACATGATGCAACTTTAGCTGAACGGGAACATGACTCTTGATAGGAAGGTGTGGAGGTCGAGGATTAAGGCAGTAGGGTAGGTGGTCTATATTGTCCATACCGGTAGTATGAGTACACACTCTCGTATTTTATTGGTAGTAGGGTTCTATGACTACCCGTCATTTTCTTTCATTTTGATCATCTTATTATCGTCTTGTTTTTATGTTGCTTTTTACATGGATTTTTGGTGTTGTCCCTCCTTGTCTATCTTTTCATTAATGTGGTGCTTATACTTTCCTGAGCCGAGAGTTTATTGAAAACAACCTCTCTACCTTCATCAAAGTATGGGTAAAGTCTGCGTACACACTACCTTCCTCAGACCCCACAGTGTGGGATAATACTAGGTATGTTATTGCTATTTATAAAAAGTATTTTTTGACCTATATAAATAGTATAACTTTTCGATCAATGGTGTTCAACTGAATGCTCTTTATTCTATATGGCGATGATACTAACCTCAAAATATAAACAAAAAAAAGAAGTCATTCATATATTTGCCCATTATATTTATCCGATTTATGCTGATCTTATTGTTAACATTAGAAATGTAATTTGGCATAATACTTGAGATTGTTGGCGATTAATTAAATGTCTTAAATGAAACTTATAAGTTGCATTTCTGAAGTGAGGTTTATAAATTGTATTTTAAAATGCAATTTAAGTAAATGAAACTCTCCAAACCGTATGTTCTCTTATATATCACTTAGAGCACATGTAAATCGCATTTCAAATGTGACTTTTGCATATTTTGGGAATTCTCACAAATGTTGCGCAATGAAATTTCTCAACCAAAATTGCGCAATTTGGATAGAAATTCTAAATTCCATATATGTGACTCCTCAATTGTCCATTAAAAAAGTAGATGACATGAATCAATTCATATTTGATCCTTTTTTTAATATACTAGTTATATAGCCTGCTTTTAATAGATCGATTATCTAATCCATTATTATTGAGCGGGTTGGACAACTATTTAAAATATTTATCCATTTTGTCAGTACTAATTAATAAATGGAAGGTCTTTTTAAAAAAAATATGCTTACTTTACACTAAATAAAATTGAATTTACAATTATTATGTTGAGTCCTCAACCTTTTAAATTTGCAAGCTTCTCTTGATTATTTTCTCTCAAATCCTGCATTCATGAAAAGTTATAGCTTTAGCATACACACAATGAAGAAAGTCAAAAAGAGGTTTAATAATTTCAAAATTCCAGCATCAATAACACTTAAAAAAAATTCCAACATCAATTGATTATTTTTTTTGGCACCATCATTTAATAATCAGTTTTAAAAATCACCAAACATAGTACCAACAACAAATTCTGAGGTATTGTTAGGCAGTGCATGCACAAATAATTCCTATATCATTTTTTCAAGACATGTTAAAGAGGTTACTATGGCTCCTTGATTCCATATACGTTAAATTGATTCTCGATAAACGTAAAGTAACACATAATTTGAGAAAAACGAAGGCTCATATATTTATAGTTTTCACATCGTGATGCAAAGATATAGAGTACACTATTAAATTCAAACGACCTCAAATTGGACAGAACATGATTTATGAACTTGTGGTCATTACAATATCGAAAGAGGTGCAAGATCCAACATACATGAGGTGTTCCCGAAAAAAAAAAAAGAGAGAGAAAAGAATAGGACTTAATTAGGAAAAGACCCAAAAGGAGCTACAGAGGCAAACCTAACCAATTTGATATCATTATAATTGTTGAATACAATAGTTTTAAAATTTCCAATAGGTCACCTTAAAGTAATATAGTATGCGCTAAACACATTAAAGGCCGAGTCCTTTTTTTGAGTTTAAAAACAAATTATGGCGTTAAGAGCATAATACGTTGAAAATTCTAAAATAAGAAAAATTAGAGGTCACATGAGTTTATAGTGTATTTATGCATAATTATGATGCATAGAGTGTTTATGTGATGTAATAATTATAAATTGTTATGTGGTTACATGGATTGTTACGAAAGAATTTCCTAATTTAAATATATCTTTTGTCTCTAAATACTCTTATCTATGTATTACGATTAATAAAAAGATTTTCACATACATTTATCAAAATTTATACAACAACTTAATTTCTATTATTAAACTCCGCATTAGACAATTCACGTGGGTTTTGTATTAAAAAATCAAACCTTATATTAGTTTTAAGAAATAAATAATAGTATAAAATTCTATACAAAGAATAATTATTTTTATAATGCAAACCAAACAACCCCTAAGAACTTATAGAGTTTAGTGTCCGTTTGGACATGAAATTTATTTTACTTTTTTCTGAATTTTTTTATTTTATTCGAAATCGACATTTTTCAATTTTTACTTGAAGATAAATTTTGGAATTCTTCGAAAATTTCAAAAACTTCAAAAAGTTATTTTTCAAAAATTTCACTCAGATCACTCACAAAAATTTAAAAATAACCCAAAAGTACATTCATGTCCAAACACAACTTTAATTTTCAAATACCATATTTATTTATTTTTACTTTTTTCGGAATTTTTACGATTCTTGCCCACTTAATTAGCACACACAAAAAGCGTACGTGGTATACTTCCAACAGACGTAACGATGACTTTCAATTCTAATCTTAACCGTCCATTTCCGATCTCTCTGATCGTACGGTTATGTCAAACCACCAGAAGCACACATGAATAATACAACAACTATTCTCAGTTCGTAGGCGCTTTGGTCCAAAAACTACGAGTTAGTTCAAAAATTGACAAAATTCTCAGCTTCCCACTTTCAGTTCAAATCACCCCCACAAAAAAATTTAACTTTTAATTACATCAATTATCTGCTAATTATTCCACTTTTAGTCTGATTTGGAGTTGGATCTTAGCTTTGGGAGTTGCTATTTCATTATTGGTTGAGCTGAATTCTTGAATTTTTCCAAGTAAGGGAAAGTTAGGGTTTCTCAAATTTCGGGTCTTTTCTTGGAAAAACCCTAGCCTATTAGTTCAAGCTAGTAATTCGAGTTGTGGGTTTTGGGAGATTTTACGGATTATTGAAGATTTGAAGCTAATTGCTGTGTTATTGAAGTTTTTGCTATGCTGTTTTTATTGAAGATGGGGTTTTTAGTTTGAATTTGGTGAATTTTATTGGAAAAGCCCTAGTCTTTTAGTTCAAGATAGTAACTTGAGTTATGGGTTTGGGAAATTTTAAGGATTCTTGTAGATTGAAGCTAATTGTTGTGTGTTATTGAAGTTTTTGTTATGTTGTTTATAGTAAAGATGGGGTTTTCTTTGGTTTCTTTGGTTGTAGGTTTTTCAGGCCCTGATTGAAATTTGGGGGAAAAGTTAGGGTTTTTGGATTTGGAGTTAGGGTTATATAATAGGGTGTTTGTGGATTCTATTTGTGTACAAGAAGAATTTGAAGTTCTTTTGGAGAAATGTTTTACTCACAGTTTATATTGGCCAAAAAGGGGCCTTTGGGAACCATATGGATTGCAGCACATCTGGAGAGGAAACTTAGGAAGAATCAAGTTGCTGATACAGATATCGGCGTCTCCGTAGGTCAGTTCTCCATATGTGATTGGTTACTTTCTCCTTGTTTTCATTTTCCTGTTCAATTGTTTACTGTGACTAGATGCCTAATTATTTAGCTGTATTTAGAATGCTTGCTTTCTAGATGAATTTCATGGTAAAATATACATTTACATAACAAAGTAATTACAAAATATACAGGAGCAATGTGGCTCACTCGCATTAATGCTCTCAAAACCTCATAGTTAATTGAATAACTAGCATATAATGCCTTCCAATATGTGGGACAAAATGATCTTCTTGTGTTCATGTTGGTGCTAAGCGTGTGGATTCTTTTTTATGGTAGAAGTAAGTGCAAGAGTTTGTTCGGATAGATTATCCTGGATCGATTAATGGTGTTCATCAATGTTACTGTTGCTTTTTGGTAGTCAGGATACTTTATCCAGTCTATAGTTACAATCTTTACGTTTCGTCTTTCATTTGGAAAACACATGTTTAACTTATAAGAGTCAAACTGCCACTCAACATCAAAATTCGCCCAAAAACAAGCTGGTGAAGAAAGAGAACTTTAAGACCACT